TGTTCATTTAGGGTAATCAGATGTGGATTCCTAAAATCAGTCCATCCACTCCTAGAATGAGCTAAGGGAGTCTTACTCCATCCAGAATCCCATGGCTACCACAAGTCGTGAGGGAACCAAAATTACCACATACAATTTCAAAATAAAAATCAGTTTTCCCACAAGTATGAGACAATATGTATTCCTTCTCTACGTCTCACGTGCCAGGAAGCACCAGGGACCCTACAGCCATATTACTGCTGAATCTAGGTAGCAGGAAAGGGGCCTGACAAAGACAGAGGCATTCGTCACAAGTTTTGTTTGGGTGGCTATAAAACAGAAGAGACATTTATGGAGATCACAAAGATTGTCCCTTGTAATCAGGTTATAAGAATTACCTCTTATTTCTCACAGCACACCTGTGAAATAGTCATTACTATTAACACTATTATAATTATTCCTGCTGTTTGGCAGATGAAGTGAAAAAAGGAGTAATTCACTAGCCCAAAATGAATTCCTCAGTTAGAGAGTAGTGATTCAGGGTTTAAACCTGTGATGCATAATTCTAGACCACTAAATTCAATCTCTCCTCCTTCCTGTAGTGCCTAAATGTTGGACCTAAAGGAGGTATGCCTGATGAAGAAAATTACTTTTATTCAAGTGGGCACCCCTTAAGTATCAGCCATGTGGAACTATATCAGCTCGGCAGGTCTTGGTTGTTGGGGATAGAAGACTGTGGGACCTTCAGGCCCCCAGTGGTCCGTCCCTGCTGACAACTTCTGAACTAGTGTCTCACCTCCAGTGCTACTTGTGATGCTGCCTAGACTGTGCCTCAGCCCTTTAGTGTTGTCAACCATCTTTCCCCTTCTCAAGATGCTCCCTGGTTTCCTGGGTGTTTAGCCAAGCCAGGTGAGGTGGGACTTTGCTTCCTTTTGTCCCATTTAGATACACAAATATTGACCAGCTAGGTGATCCTGGGCTTCACTGAAGAGTGGTGTTCAAATAAGGAGGTTTCAGTCAGGTCCCAGCCCCTGAGACCTTCAGTGTCTTTTAGGGAAATATGGAATCAGATAAACCAAATAACTTAAGAAAAGGTCATCTGTGTATTCTCAGAGACTGTGAAAACAACATCAAATGCCGACCAAAAAATCAGGACATCAGCTAAGGCCGTCAGAGAAGACCCTGTGAGGATCAGGGTTCGATCAGGCTGGAAAATATTTGCTCATCTCTCCCAAGATGCACTGCCCAATACTGTCTTTTATTCAATCTCGTGATATTAAAATCATGGAATTTAATTTTAGTTTCTAATAGTATAAAGGACATATCATCGCTATGGAACTAGGATATATAAATAACTATGAGTGGTAGGACATGAACACAATTGTGAGCAACAGAGGGTGGAATTTCAAAGCAAATGTTGATGCTCAACAGCTAAGGGCACATTCGGTAAATATTCTACTTTTCGGTTCCTTCATGTTTGATGAGATGGGACGGTCAAATAATATCTAGAACTGCATGCACTGTACAAACACAGAAGATACTAGCCTCTATTAATTTTAAATAATATATATATATTCAGTTTGTCAGTCACCCTAGCCACATTTTAAGTGCTCAATAGCCATCTGGGGTTAGCAGCTGCCGCATTGGATAGCAGATACACAGAACATTTCAATCAGTGTTGGTCTATAAAATGAGGATCAAATATAATCTAGATACAGTACTGGGAACATATTATTTCTAAATAAATGGTAGATTTAAAGTCAGGGTTCTTGTGGAGAGCGTGCTATATAAGCCCAATATCTGTGTTCTTTTTTTTTTAATGTGAAAATCTTTGGAGGTGTCAAAGGAATACTCATTAACCAACGCATTCGAAAAGGAAAGAGAAAATTTATGGAAAAGAGTGCAAACGAGTCAGACTTTGGAGGAGCTGGCATCCCAAATACAAAACTCAATAGCTATGTAAAGGAGATAAATACAAAATCACCAAGATTACCAAGATTTATAATGAAAAATCAGCAACATTCACATATGATTATCAAATTAGGATAAATTTAGCTTCTTGAAATATTAAGTCTTCCACTCTCTAATAATGGAATACTCCTCAATTTATTTAGATCTTCCTAAATAAAAATGATTTATAATTTTATTGTACGACCTTAATTAGTTTAGTTCCTAGAATATTCAAATGTTGACGTTACAATAAATGTTATAAATTTAAAGTTTTAATGTTAAGTGTCTTTAATAATAGATTTTTTATATTGCCCTTCTATTCAGTGTCTTTGTTAAATGTAGTTATTGCATCTTATAGTTTATTTGTAAATTATTTTCAACTTTCTACTGTCTTCTATTAATAATTGATTTCCAGTTCTAATATATTTTATTTCTTTGCTTGCCTTACATCACTGGCTAGGACTTGCAATAATAATTGTGGGTCTTTTTGCCTTTTATTTCCCAGAGAAATCTTTAACAATTTTTAAAAAAAGGAAACCAAACCCATTGCTGTTGAGTCTATTCTGACGCATAGTGACCCTATAGGACAGTGCAGAACTTCACCATAGGATTCCCAAGGCTGTAATCTTTACAGAAGCAGACTGCCACATCTTTCCCCTGAGGAGCAGCTGGTGGGTTCAAACTACGGACCTTTCTGTTAGCAACTGAGCACTCGAATACCACACCACCAGGGTTCCTCATCTAAAAACGTACCTTCAGTAAATAATTTTTAATTACAGATTTTGTTTATTTAATAAACAGTCATATTTCTTATTTTTGCTCATGTAATTTTAATCAATAGGTGTGTTTATTAGAATATGACCATTTCATATACATTTTCAAATGTAATGGTCTAACCTTGTTCCTGATATCCTCTCCTGTGTTTTAATGTTTGCCAGTAATGTAGTGAAAACATGTATTTTTTTTTAATTTCAGATTTTGGTTATTTGAACCTTCTTCATTTTTTCTTGATAAGGTTCAATACAAATTTATCAGTTTCATTAACCCTTTCAAATGGTTCATTCCTCTTATTTTGTGCTTATTTTTTGTCTCAATTTATTTTATCTTTATTATTTTCTTCCGTGGTTCAGTGAATTAACTTAACATGGCCGTTCTAGCCATAGTTTTTGTGACTCCCACACAATGACTGGGTGAGACTATGTTAAAAAAAAAAAAGAGTGTTTGTGTCAGGCTGCTGATCATGATAATGATTGTCCATCCCCCGTGAAGTTAGACAAGGAGGTCTGACCCTGCCATTACGCCATTTTTACACTTTCTCTTTTCTTGGTCTCCATCTACTTAATTAGGATTTAATTTATTGACATAGATGATTATATAAGAAATAGTCAGATTTTCTTCCATTTTAAAATGTAAACTTAGGCTATAAAATTGCCGGTATGAAACCTGCTTTAGCAAATAAAATCCAACGATATATAAAAGGATGATACATCATAACATAAAAGGGTTTATTCTTGGTAAAAATGTTAAGCTAAATATGTGAAAATCTATCAGTGTCAATAATCACATTAAAAGAATGAAGACTTAAAAACATGATCATGTATCAATATATGCAGAAAACTAATATTCAGTAAACACTCATAATACTCTTAGCAAAGTAGTAATAGAAAATAATTTCATTAACAAAACATCTACAAAACGACAAAGTGCTCACACATACGGAAATTAAAAAGCACCACTTGCCAGAAGTATAGAGAGTCAATGTTCTGAAAGGCTGTCCTGCCACAATACAGCACAAACCTGGGTGAATTAGAAGATTAGAAAGAAAAGGAAACAAAGGACCACAGTGAATTAAACCAGCCCCAGAGAAAAGAAAAGGCAGGCTCACTTGGGGGACAGTGGCTTATTAGGCTGGCGTCAGGACCGGAAGAAGTCCAGAGCTTCTGCACAGTGGGGAAGTGAAAATTAGAAATCGTAATAAACTAAGACATCCCCAAGGTGCTAAAGTGAATATTGCTAGCGCCTCGCTGATGAAACTTGCCAACTACAAACCCAAAACAATGTCCAGACATTAAAGACCAGAAGAAATTCGCCCATGGAACAAAACAAAAAAAGTTAAAGCAGTAAGAATTGTCAGACAAAAAACAAACAACAAAAACATAAACTAACAGACATAGGATGAAAGAGTGAACAGAAATAGAATTTAGAATTTATAAAAATCAATGACGAAAATGTCTCAAACTACAAGATGAACTTTTAAACATAAGAAAACAAGGGCTTATGGGATTTAAAAAATAGACAAGATAGTAAAAAAAAATCAAAACCTGTATGAATGAAAAATACCCAAAACCAAAAACCAAACCTACTGCCCATAATTTTCATGTCAAGCTGAACAGAATAAAAACATGTGAACACATGCACCTAATTCTCGTCAAGTCCAACACAAAACCACAAAACCATCCGACTCATAGCGACCTTGTAGACAGAGACCCTATAGGACAGAGTAGAACTGCCCCATACGGTTTCCAAGGCTGTAACAAATTTCCACCTTTCTCCTGCAGAGCTACTGGTGGTCGGCTGGTGGGTTCGAGTTACTGAACTTTTGATTAGCAGCTCAGCGCTTAACCACTGCACCACCAGGGGTCCTGAATGAAATACAGAAGAGATATAAAACCCCAAAGGGTTTTGATTATAACCACCAGAGGAGACAGTACGATAAGGGATTTGGAACTGCCGGAATGCATCGGAGACTGACAAAGTGCGCAGTAAGGGCGGAGTCGTGAAACGCCGAGCTGGTGCAGAATTGTCATGGTTGAAAAAAGCAGACATCTTGGCAGAACACCAGCGATAAAGGCCAGGTAAAGCAAAAGCTGTGCCCATAGAGGAAGTGTCCGCCATGCTGGTGCAGGAAGTACGTAGGAAGGCACAGTCATAGGGAGCAGGGAGCAGGGGGGAAGGCGGAAAGCGACGGACCCCGTGGAGAGGAGCCGCGGCCTCCGCCCCGGTCTCAAGGCCTCAGGCCCGGGTAGGAAGAGGCGCTGGAAAGTTCCGGTAACTTTAGAGGCCGTTTGTCAATGGCAGAGCCTGCAGCTCCCTCGGAAGCCTCCGGTGCCGAGGCAGGTGCTGCGGCGGCAGGGGAGGGTGGCGGCGGGCCCGGCCTGCCGGTTCCGGAGGCCCGCCCGGAGCCAGTGGCGCGAAGGCCGGCCCCTACACGCGCGTCAGGCTTAAGGCCTGCCCAAGCCGCAGGGGGAGGAGGGGCCAGGCCTCTACCCTTGCAGGGCCGCAGTGGCGGCAGCTGGACAAAGCTAGTGACCTGCAGGTATTATGTACACGGGCTTTGCAAGGAAGGGGAGAACTGCCGCTACTCTCATGACCTTTCAGGTCGGCAGCGGGCTAGAGAGGGCCGCGATTTGCGGCTTCGTGCTTCTGCAGACAGCGGCTCCGCCGGGGCTCCGGAAATCAAGGCCCCGACTCCGGAAGTGGCGGAAGTTCCTCCTGCTACTTCCGCTCGCTTCTTGCCTCTGATTGGCTCAACTGCGGAAAGGGGTTTCTTTGAAACGGAGACAGGCAATGCAGGCCGTGAAGCTGCCGGAGCAGGTGCAGCATCTTGGGCGGATGCTGTTGAGTTTGTTCCAGGGCAGCCTTACCGGGGCCGCTGGGCACTGCCTGTTGCCGAGGCTGCCCCACAGAGCTCCGTGACTGAGAAAGAGCAGATCGCTGTCGGCGCGGGGGAACCGCTTTGCCCTTACGCCGCTGTAGGAGAATGTCCTCATGGGGAGAGATGTATGTACCTCCACGGAGAGGCTTGCGACATGTGTGGGCTGCAGGTACTGCACCCCGTGGATGCTGCCCAGAGAGCAGATCACATAAAGGCCTGCATAGAAGCTCACGAGAGGGATATGGAGCTCTCTTTCGCTGTGCAGTGCAGTATGGACAAGGTGTGTGGCATCTGCATGGAGGTTGTCTATGAGAAAGCCAACCCTAGCGATCGCCGCTTTGGCATCCTCTCCAACTGCAGCCACACCTACTGTCTTAAGTGTATCCGTGTGTGGAGGAGAGCCAAACATTTTGAAAACCGGATCGTCAAGTCGTGCCCACAGTGCAGGGTCCCCTCCGACCTTGTTATTCCCAGTGAGTTTTGGGTGGAGGAAGAGGAAAAGAAGCAGAAACTTATTCAGCAGTACAAGGAGGCAATGAGCAACAAGCCCTGCAGGTATTTTGCTGAAGGCAGGGGTCACTGCCCATTTGGAGAGCGCTGTTTTTACAAGCATGCTTGTCTTGAGAGTCAGGGAGAAGAGCCTCAAAGGCAGGATGCTGGAACATCCAGCACTTATTGGAATCAGCTTTTGGAGGGCAGCATGCCCTTTAAGAGCATTGGAAAGGAGCTTGTCAGGCTTCGTCTGGTCAAGCTGTTGTTTAAGCATCTTCTTTCAAAGGGAGGTTATAAACTCCCCTTCTCTGAGGACCAGTGGGAGTTGCTTCTTTTTGAGCTTGAAAAATATTTCAGTTTGATTCTGTAGCATCATGCTGTGGCATGTGGTCTTGTCCGTTGAGGCTGTCTTGTCTGTTATTGCTTGTGTTCTTTTAGAGACCCATCTATCACTTTCAGGGGCTGTTGAAGCAATTTTTGTACAGTGTCCCTCTCTGTTCTCTTCCCCATTCCTCTTATCTGCCCCGCTAGGATTATGGTGTTTTGCTGTGTTAGAAAGTAACAAAAGTCCTTAAAATTACTGTTCAGTGAAATTATTATTGCTGTCAGTTTATCTTGTAATCTCTGTTTTCAACAGGATCCACTCAGTTCTAGGTTAGTGTTTACAGAATTTCCACATTCATTTTGAAGTCTCTCAAGAGTGAATGTGACAGGGTCAAGGGAGGAGTCTTAACTGACCAAGGAGTTTTTGCTACTATAGCCTTAAGAAATGGATCATTGCGGGACGTTGTGGTGCAGCTGCACGTCTCTACTTGTTTACATGCCTTCCATCATCCCCTGTCAAGTGCACTCATTATATTGTGGTTATCTTGTGGTTTTGTGATTTACTTGACCAGAATCGGGTGCATATGTTTACATGTTTTTATCCTGTTTAGCTTGATGTGAAAATTATTTATGTTAGGAACTATATCTTTAAGAAATACATATATATTATATATATTTATATATATATGTATATTTACATATATGTCACTCATTATATAGTGGTTGTCTTGTGGTTTTGTGTTTTACTGGACCAGAATCAGGTGCATATGTTTACATATTCTTATCCTATTTATCTTGATGTGAAAATTATATTAGAAACTATATCTTTAAGAAACATATATATGTGTCACTCATTATATTGTGGTTATCTTGTGGTTTTGTGTTTTACTTGACCAGAATCGGGTGCATATGTTTACATGTTTTTATCCTATTTAGTTTGATGTGAAATTAGTTATATTAGGAACTATATCTTTAAGAAATATATGTATGTCACTCATTATATTGCGGTTATCTTGTGGTTTTGTGTTTTACTAGACCGAATCAGGTGCATATGTTTACATGGTTTTATCCTGTTTAGCTTGATGTGAAAATTATTTATATTAGGAACTATACCTTTGAGAAATATATATATATACATATATATTTTACTCATTATATTGTGGTTATCTTGTGGTTTTGTGTTTTATTTGACCTGAATCGGGTGCATATGTTTACACGTTTTTATCCTGTTTTGCTTGATGTGAAAATTATTTATATTAGGAACTATACCTTTGAGAAATATATTTTATATATATATAT